CAGGAACATGGGTCTCTGTGGGGTGCTACCCTATCCAGCCTCCATGCCATGCAGCTCTGCGCTTGATTTCTAGCACAGCTGGGGGTGTTGTCTTTTCATACCATTCAAGGGTACAGTGGGTCACAGCACTGTAACAGCAGTTTGCACTTCTGAGGCTCAGCTGAGAGACACTACATGGCAGATTGGCTTCTGATTTTTCTTTCTTCATTCATTTCTGGCCACAAACTTAGTAATTTAGAAGTTGTGGGTTTTGTGCGCACAATACCGAGAGGTGGAAAGTCTGCTTAAACAGATCTTATTTAAAAACTTTTTCAAGAATGGTGGTGAAGATCAAGTCATGTTTAGTGACATCTCTGAAGTGTGACAGTTAAGGTATTCGGGAGGTCAGAGTCTGAATAGCAGCATTAAAATGTATTGCTGTGTACACCAGCAGGCAAACTCACAGGCCAGTGCAACCAACAGCTCTCACCAGGCATAGGGAGTCAATCCCTTTCTTCCAAGTTTTATTTCTCCAAATAAAACCGTTCAGCATATAAATCATGGCCTTTCCCTTGACCCAGGGGCACCAGCAGGAGACCATCTACTCCCCTTAGATCTCACTTCTCAGGCCATCCACCTGGCAGTCAAGGAAGGCCTCTTGACTCCCTTCTCTTTCTTAGTCTACTCCCTGCAGGATTACAGCCCCCAAGCCATCTGCTTGAGAGTCGCATATAAACAGCATTCTTTCCTATGAGCCAGGATCTCCAGTAGGAACTTGCCTACTTTCTGCAGATCACACAGCCAGCTGAGCAGCTTGTTGGTCTTTTATCTGACCTCCTGGGAGTCTTTTATCTGACCACCTGTGATTAGTCACAGGTGGGAACTAAACCAAAGTCTCTTAAAAGGCCAATCCATCCTGTAATAGGCTGGGATTTGGTAGGTCCCTGTGAATTATGATGGCTTCAATATTAATTTCACCTGCTGCTAAGACATTGCTTGTTTGTTTGCTTTTCTTTTACTTTTCAGCCCTATTTTGCATTTTGGAAACCCTACTATACAAAGGATAGAAGTACCAGAACTGGTTGGAAAAAGACAATTTATTTTTCATTCACATTTATAATTTTTCTAAACTTCCCACAAAAATGTTTTATTGTTTGCTTGAAAAAAAAAAAGCTCCAGAAAAGTTTGTTTTTTGAAAAATGTTTGTTGATTAAAATGTAACAGCTGTAAGGACAATTAGTGTCAGGCAGGTGTGAGAGACAAGGGGATTCGAAGAGGTGGGAGTGAATAAATAAATATATTCTGGGAGTTGGGAGAAATGGGCTAAGGTGGCTTTGCAGTCTGTCCAGAATAGCCTCATTCTGGGAATAGCAGCTGTGGTCCTTCAAAGGCTGCCTTAAGGGGACCAAAAAGGCTGAACAATTGCTGGGGATATGGAGGCTTTGGGTCCCTTGAGCGCAGGGTAATGAGCAGGGGATGGACAAGGCAGGGAAAAATCATGTGTATGGCATAATCCCGAATTAAAATGTTTAATCTTAGTTGTTCTGCTCTTGCCTGTAGTGAATGCTTTCAAGAGGCAGCGGGGTTGCAAACAGAGCCCTGTCTTAGGTCCATGCTGTCAAATGCAAGATTGGTGGCAATGAAGTTTCAGCTATTCAGGATTTAATTAGAAATGAGGCCCCTGGCCGTCCTTGTTTTACCCAAGCTTGGTTGACTGACTGGTCTGGCTTGGCACAGCTGGTTCCAGCTGCATATTCAGTACAGTATCAATTTAGCAGGAGGTGGTGTAGCCTTCTACCGCCGCCAGCATGTGCGTGCGCGTGTGCGCACACACACACACACAAACAAACCCCCACCCCTCTCCAGCACCTGGCAATTAGCAAGATGCAGGGATATCTTCACTTTGCCCTCTTTCTCCTGGCCATTCTCCCCACATTGGTGGCTGGGAGGGAGGCGGCCTAGAAACCACTACAATGGCTCTATATCCCCTCAGGATTCCCATATGCACTGGAGAAGTGCTAAACTGCTGCAGGCACTGGAGAATCAAACCAATACCTTATAAAGGAGATGAAAAATACCCCCAAAACCAACTGAAACCACTGAGGTTGGAGGATGGAAATGTGATATGTATGGGCTGGGTTGCAATTTACTTTTTCTGGTGTCCTGGCCATCCAAAATGTTCCACCCGTCTGTTGCTCCTGAAGCAGAATCTGAGGTCATAACTTTCCTGTCTATCCTGGGAGAATGCTCTGCTCGCTTACCTCACCTCTGGGCAAAGCGTATGGGTGGTAAGGAAATGATCTCCCAGAGACCCGAGTTTGGTGAGCTGTTCCCCAGAGTAGATGAGACAGTGGGCTATATTCTACTCTCAGATATACTGGTGTAACTCTGGAGTGACCCTGTCTAGTCAGCAATTGGATTCCGAGAAGTAAGAAGGGAGCTTATTCCATAGTTACACCAGTGTAGCGGAGAGTAGAATCTGGTCCATAATGTTCTATAATGCTCTTGCCCAAATCCCACTCCATAGGAATGATGGGAAAGGAAATCTTTCCCTGACATCAGAGGATTAACATTATGCTCGATACATGAGGATGGCAGTACTTATGATCATATCCCGTTTGGTGCAGCTTCCAATGCTTTTCTACTAAGTGCTTAATTCTGATCTCGCACTTTTACATTCGCTATAGCACCATTGGCTTCAGTGTGGTTACTAATATTTTGCACCAGTGTGAGATCAGAATCAGATTCATAAGTATACAATGGTGTCCACATGAATTTCCTGACAAAGAATCTACTTCTCTCAAAGCCTGGAGAGTGTTTATAATGAAATGTACGTGCCTTCAAAATCAATAGTAAAATTCCTTTCATGATTTCTTGAATAAAGTTACTGTAATTGGAATCCATGTTGCATAAAAAAAGCTCAAGGAAAACTAAAACCAGCACATATGAGAAGTCATTTTAATGATACTATACAACAGAATATTTTTTCTTAAAGCAGTGTTTGGATGATGATACCTTTTCCAAGGTGTTGACAAAACAGAATACAAATTATACAAGTAAAATAATTAAAAATAAATGGTGGACTGGCATCATATTTTTTTGACATTTATTTTCTGAAGGAGAAGCTATTAATAGGCATAGCTCAATTCAATGGCAGCATGTGCTTTTCAACATGAGATTCTCTTTGCACAATTTTCCAGCCATGTTCAGTCACACACAAGTGATTTTTTCCCCCAAGATCGCACAATGATTTAATGGCTCAGATTAGAACCTCTTAGTTTCACTCCTTGCTCTATCCGCTGAACTACATGGTCTGCTTACTCATATTTAATTGTAACAGTGGATTGCATTTAGCTGCACATGTATGGTTATTTTGATTAGAAAAATATCACGCTCACTTGCACTGCAGATCTATAGCAAAAAGGTGCTGTCCTAATTTTCACAGTGCTTTACTCTTTGATATAGCAAGTAATAGGCTGCCATCCAGTGGCAACAAAAATTATTTCAAATTACTTTAAAAACTTATGATGTGAAGTTAAATTATGGTTGAAGGCATTTTTTCTTCAATGAAACTGCAACCTCAGCGGTGCTGGTTTGCAGAAGATTAATGCAAATGCATGCCCTGATTTTAACTCCGCATGCCTGCAAGATCTTTCCTTCACAGCCAAAACCTTATCTTACATCTCAGCTGAGACTGCCAACTTGGTTTTGGGTTGAAGCCATGAGAAGCTGTATTGTGCTTTACTATCTATTTATGTAAACAGTAAAAAAAAAAATATGTAAGGACAAAGGGCCTGCCTGCCTGCATAAATTTACAATCTAATGGCCAGATTCTGATCAGTTACACCAATGTAAATCTGGAGCAACTCCACTGAAGTCAATGGAGTTGCTCCAGATTTACATGTGGGTAAGTAAGAACCGAATCTGGCTATTCTTTTGGAGGTGTGCTCTGTGTGAGAATAATAAGGCAAGGAAAGTGGTCACTCAGTTTTGGTGGTAGCACAGCTTGATGTCTCCATTATGTTTTGCAATTTTTCACCCCCCAGTTGAGTCCCTTATGAACAGACTCACTATAGTTTTGTTTGGTTTCCTCCAAGAATAAGAAACTACCAAGGTTTACCAAACTGAAAGCCATAACTCAGACCAGTCTTGCTCAAAGCTTGGCCTAGAATTGCAATGTTTTCTGGGGTCCTGGCCTGAGGTTAAAATTTGCACTGAAATCTGAAGCAGGTTTTGTAACTAAATGTTTGTACCATACTAGGTTTCCCCCATGAATTAATCACAGGACATCAAGGTGGGCAAACATTATAATGTATTTATAATTTCACACTTTGTCATTGGCAATTCCTTATGCTGAAGGCATGCCATGAGCACACATTGCAAATACTCTGTATATGTTCTCTGTGTGTGTGTGTGTGTGTGTGTTTTTATTTTTTCCTTGAAGTTATATAATCTATGAAATCGTAGGATGGTGTACTTTGGGGGCAGGGGGAGGTAATCAGTAAATGAGTTGGACTAGTTACCAACTAAAATACAAATGGAAGACCTGATTCTGTTACCCTGTACCTTATAGTCACTCACAACAGTGCAAAGTGAGTGTTATATTGTGCAAAGCATCACCATTCTCATTCATAGCTGCATTGCACACACAGTGCACTACAATATGACTAAACGAGGTGCAGAGCAGCAAAGATTCTGGCCCTATATTTCCAGAAAAAAAGTGTGTTCAGCAATATTCCATTGCTTGACACCATACAAAATGCAGCAGATCTGCTCTCCTTTCAGCTTGCTGCTCTCTCCCCCGGATCATATTTCCTTTATAATATCTTTGTTTTCTAACATTTGAAACAATTGCAGTGAACTTGTGGCCTTGTTGCTAGGTTTCAAGTTAATTTTATGCAGCCAACTGAGGTACTACTTTCACTTCTGAATTCTCAATCAAGCCCTGAGGCGAAATGATCTCGTTTCTTAGCAACCCAGATGGGCAGAGCCAGATTATACATTTGAGCTCTTTTGTACAACAAAAGAAGAAATAGCTCCCAGAATAAACATGTGCTGTGAGTTCATCTCTTTGCTCAGTGTCCCCCAGCACTGTAGAGAAGAGAAGCCTGGCTGTGTGATGCAACACGAGAAGCTCGGCAGAGAAACCTGACTTGACAGAGTGGTGAGTGGTGTCTCTTAACCTCTTCTGTTAAATGCTTCTCTTTGGGTCTGCTTTTGTGGTTGTCACCACATGTATGAATCTGTGTGCACCCGGCGATTAAGTGTTTCTGTTTCTAAGCTACTAAAACATGCACCGCAAATCAAGAGTGCAGACTCTACAGAGCCGATAGGGTAACCATGTTGGTAAGTGTGATGACTGTTTCTTTGGTGAAGTTTATGGATAATCCCAACCTCTTCCTTTTGCCCAATTAAAGCTTAAAAACAGGACTTAGAAACACTCTGTGGCTGTAATACACAAGGAGACAGTTCTAAGTAAACCAATAATCTAGGGAGATTTTTGTTAAGTATTAAAAACAATTGAATCTACATGATGAATCTTACTCATCATGAGGCAAATTATCTACTCTCCTCCTTGTTTCCCTTCCCATAGGGCCTGCCTACCTGCAGTTCTATTGGGCAGGAGTGGGGCAGGACTCTGGGAGCCCACCAGAGGGGTTGCAAACCTCCTGACTACCATAAGGCCTTGCTGTGAGGGGACAAGGAAGGCAGGTTGAGGAATAGGGTCAGTAAAGCCATGGCAATCTGCATCCTCTTTCTAGATGGTAATGGTAGAATTATCAATAATAATGCAGAAAGGGCATTATTTTGAGGGGTAGAATGGAATGACCTGATTGATAATAGGCCTGTCAGTCTGACACTGATACTGGGCAAGATAATGGAGCAGCTGAAATGGGACTTTTTAATAAAGAATTACGGGGGGGGGGGGTGAGGACATGATTAATGCCAATCAACATTGGTTTATGGAAAACAGATTGTGTCAAACTAACTTGATATTTTAAGAGATTATAAATTTGATAAAGGCAATAGCGATATCCAATATTTAGACTTCTGTAAGGTATTTGACAAGGTACCACAAGACATTTTAATTTAAAAAGCTAGAATTATGCAAAACTAATATGGCATATTTTCAATGGATTAAACACTGGCTAACTGATAGGTCTCATAATGTAATTGTAAATGGGGAACTATCATCAAATGAGTGTGTTTCTATTGGGGTCCCACATGGATTGGTTCTTGGCTCTATGCTATTCAACATCATTAATCACCTGGAAGAAAACATAAAATCATTAGTGATATAGTTTGCAGAAATCACAAAGATTGGAGGAGTGGTAAATGAAGAGGACAGGTCACTGATACAGAGTGATCTGGATTGCTTGGTAAACTGAGCACAAGCAAACAATATGCATTTTTAATATGGTTAAATGTAAATGTATACAACTAGGAACAAAGAATGTAGGCCATGCTTACAAGATAAGGGTCTCTATCCCAGGAAGCAGTGACTCTGAAAAACATTTTTGGGGGGCATTGTGGATAATCAACTGATCATGAGCTGCCAGTGTGACTCTGTGCCCAAAAGAGCTAATGCGATCATAGGGGAATCTTGAGTAGGAGGAGAGAGGTTATTTTTACCTCTGTGTTTGGCAGTAGTGTGACCTCTGTTGGAATGCTCTATCCATTTCTGGTGCTCACAATTCAAGGAAGCTGATCAGTTGGAAATGATTCAAAGAAGAGCCATGAGAATGATTAAAGGATTATAAAACATGCCTTAAAGCAGTGTTTCTCAACCCTTTTGAGACCAGGGACCGGGCTTGCTGCCTTCCTAAACTATATCAGGAATATCTGAGGGACTGGTGCCAGTCCACGGACCAGTCATTGAGAAACACTGCCTTACAGTGATAGACTCAAGGAGCTCAGTTTATTTACCTGAACAAAGAGAAGGTTTAAGGTCTAACCTGATCATAAGTATCTACATGGGGACAAATATTTGATAATGAGCTCTTCAGTGTGGCAGACTGAGGTATAATAAGGTCCAGTGCCTGGAAGTTTGAAGCTAGAGAAATTGAGACTGGAAATAAGGTGTAAACTTTTAACAGGGAGGGTAACTAGCCATTGCAACAACTTAGCAAGGATCATAGTGGATTCTTCATCAGTGACCAAAAAAATATATCTAATCTTGATTTCAGATATGCTCTCATTCAAAAGGAGTTATTTTGGGGGCGTTCTGTGGCCTGTGTTACACAGGAGTGTGACGGGTTGGATCACGGAAACCCTCTGGGAGCTGGCACCTGATGTGCCAAGACTACTTCTGCTCCTGCTTTCCCTGCCCTGTCAGCTTAGGACTTCAGTGCCCTGCCTGGTTTGAGCCAGACCCACTAGCCTGCTGCAAACCCAAACCTAGACCCAGGTCTGAACCACGTCCCCTAGAAGCTGTAGGCTTAACTGAAAGCAGCTTGCAGAAGTGTGCCTGTCTTTAACTCTCAGATGCCCAACTCCAAATGGGGTCCAAACCCTAAATAAATCTGTTTTACCCTGTATAAAGTTTGCCCTCTATAACACTGACAGTGAGATATGCACAGCTGTTTGCACCCCGCTCCCCGCTATTAATACATACACTGGGTTAATTAATAAGTAAAAAGTGATTTTTATTAAATACAGAAAGTAGGATTTAAGTGGTTCCAAGTAGTAACAGACAGAACAAAGTGAATTACCAGGCAAAATAAAATAAAACACGCAAGTCTATGTCTAATCAAACTGAATACAGATTAAAAACCTCACCCGTTCCAGTAAGCTTTCTTTTACAGACTAATCTCCTTCTAGTCTGGGTCCAGCAATCACTCACCCTCCCCTTCCCCCTGTAGTTACTGTCCTTTGTTCCAGTTTCTTTCAGGTGTCTTTGGGGGTGGAGAGGCTCTCTCTTTAGCCAGCTGAAGACAAAATGGAGGGGTCTCCCAGGGGTTTAAATAGACTTTCTCTTGTGGGTGGAGACCCCCTCCTCTCTCCTATGCGAAGTCCAGCTACAAAATGGAGTTTTGGAGTCACCTGTGCCAGTCACATGTCCATGCATGACTGAGTTCCTTACCAGCCAAGCCACATTCCTGGGAAAGCCCAGATGTGGATTGATGTCTCCAAGTTCATTGTTGGCTTAAGGGCTTCTTGATTGGGCACTTACTGAGAATAGTCTTTTCTCAGGAAGCTGACCAACTGCTTCACTAAAACCTACTCGGAATCCAACAAGTATGTAGCCAATATTCATAACTTCGAATACAAAATTGATACATGCATACAAATAGGATTAATAGATTCAGTAGATCGTAACCTCTACAGAGAGATGTTGCATGGCATATGTAGCATAAAACATGTTCCAGTTATGTCATATATACATAAAGGCTTATGGGGGGCACCGTCACAAGAAGGTCAGACTAGATGATCACAATGGTCCCTTCTGGCCTTGGAATGTATGAATCTCTCTCCATTTGCCCTGCAGAGTGGAGGAAGCAAAGGTTGCAAGGGCTATTACAGTCCTGAAGGAGGAGCGCTGCTACTGCCTGATGGCCTGGTGCTAGGATTCTTCAGCCCAAGCTTCCAGTAATCTCCCAAGCCCAGAGCTGGGTACCTAGGTTGTGCACTTGGGTCAGGATTTGCTTCATGATGAGTGTTTGATATTCTGAGGATAATTTGATTGTGTTCAGGACATAAATCTGAGACCCCATCCTGCATGGAAGTGAATATGAACCTGCCCACTGGAACCTGCAATGAGACCTCTCTAGATGTTGGACTCTAGGAATTTCTCTTCCCCCACTTCCTAATGCTCTGGACATTTACGTTAAGATGAAACCTTTGTGGCTTGGGAATTCATCTGGCCCTGCTGCTTATCCTTCACTTAAAGTCGTAATTGGGCACTGTCAACATTAAGGAAACCTATACTGGAGCAATTTACACTGGTGCAAACCTTCCAATGCATGTGGCTGCACTCGTACAGAGCATGACTTTTGCTGGTACAATTTGCTCTCGTCAATTATCCACTGAAGCCCCATCAACATAAACCATAACTGGCACAGCATAGTTATGAATTTCCTTAATGCAGATAGAGTCCTGAGAGTGGGCTCAAGTCACTCTGAATGGACTTTGCAGATGTTCAGTTCTGGAGTTCAAATCTAGACGCGTACTACCTGTCAAATTCTGACCTGGGTTCAGATGTCAAATGGCCTCCAAAGATTTTGGGGTGGGGGTTCAGCTCTGCTGTTTTCACTTGGGCCATTCTCTACTCATACACGCAGATATGTCCACGGTAACTGATTGTGATGTCACAGAAGATTATGACTTCAAAGAGATAAATAATAAGTAGCAAGAGCAGATGAACAGCTAAGCAGTAAGGTTACAGTTTTTATGTCGGCTTCCTTAGTAATATGAAAGCAAGGGTGGGGGCGGGAAATCTTAACATTATGATTTATTGGCACACTGGCTCCGAGAATGTTGGCCAAGTTCCTGATGTAATGCCATTAAAATCAAATGCAGTTTTTCAAAACTTTGCCTGAGACACCAGGAATTCATTAAAAACCACTTTTAAAAATACAATGTGAAAAGAAAAGGAAATGAATTATGGAACTGTCTTTGAGATCAATGGGAATCACTCTGTGGGTTGAGCCACAGCAGTATGTAGCAAGGGAGATTGGGATAAATTCTCTATTGCCCATCATCCGATTAATGTCGCTTCAGTGGTGTAAGGGGTCTATAAGAGGATCAGATTTCTTCACCTAGCATAGAGGCTTCCCTAGATAGTGTAGTGAGGGCTGCCTCCTGATATCCCATGATATATGATATGCCTGGAAGGAGAGGGCATAGCTGGTGTGCAGTTGCACACTAGCTATCCTTGCCTGATGCAACGGTTTCTAGATGGACATAGCAGCTGGGGATAAATTGGAGCAGTGCAGTGTGGGCAGATCCAAGAATGTGGAGAACCACAAAGATGGCGTAAAGGGATTTGGGGTTCTGGAGTGGGCTCCAGGCTGGAGCAGGGGGTTGGGGTGTGGGAGGGGGTGAGGGCTCCAGCTGGGGGTGTGGGCTCTGGGGTGGGGCTGGGGATGAAGGGTGTGGGGTGTAGGAGGGGGCTCTGGGCTGGGGCCAAGGGGTTTGGAGTGTGGGAGAGGGCTCAGGGCTGGGGCAGGGGCTTGTGGTGCAGGAGGGGGTGAGGTGTGCAGGCTCCGGCCGGCGTTTACCTCAGGCCGCTCCCAGAAGCGGCCAGCATGTCCCTCTGGCTTGTAGGCCAATAGCTTCCATGATTTTTTGTTTATTGTCCGTGACTTGTCTGTGACGTTTACTAAAAATAACCATGACAAAATCTTAACCTTATTCATATTCAGTTGACTTTAATGGGGCTCTAAGTGGGCTTAAGGGTTCAGTTGTTCAGATCAGCTTACAGAATTGAGGCCTATGGGACTCTTCCAGGGCAATGCAGATACTATGGTGATTGAGTAAGGTATAGGAACCTATGTAGAATGGAATAGAATCTCTGGTGGAGCAAGAAATTGAACCCAGCTCCAAAGTCCCGGTTTGGTGCCATAACTACAAAATCATCCTTCCCCTGTTCCCATCTATAACCACCCAATGATATTATTAATCTAAATACTGATGTTGAATGAAATGTAATGAAGTACAAAGTTTTACAGACATTCATTTATCTTAACTACAGTAATACTGTGCAGCACTTGATACGTAGTTCGTGCTAAACCCATTCAAAACAATCATTAATCAGATGCATTTTTTTCCCAGGGGTTAAAATACCTGCGAGGAAAAATCCCATAATGCTCACCACTAGCTACAAAGGCAAACGGCTCACCTTCACTTTTGAAAGACAATTCAAATTTTCTGCATGCCTGGATTTGGCCTTTGCACAGAGTCAAAGTGTTGTGCAGCCACGCCGAGCCACCCCGCAGAGAGATATATGGCAAAAGCAGCCTCCCGATTTTAACCACAAATTCTATAAATCTTCCAGGCCTTCACGAAAACCAGCAGAAAAGGAAGAACTGAAGAAGGCCAATAGCACAGAATCTGAGACTAAGCAACAGCTACCAAAGATAAAAACCAGCCAGTTCCACACTGCTTTGGAAAGGAAGAAAGAGTTGCCCAAGATTGTCACAAGGTTTCCACACGTGGGCTCATATGAAGTGGATATAATGTTTGTGAAGAATGGAAAATATAAGACTGGCGTCTACCAAGATCCCAAACCACATGATTTTAGGCAGGTAAGGTATGTAAGAGCATGCCATAGTGGTATGTCTACACAGCACTTTGGAGTGAGTGAGAACAAGCCCCCCAGCCAAGGTCAACAGACTTGGACTAGTGGGTTTCAAGTTACTGCTAATGTCTGGTGTGCGCTTTGAAGTTGCAGCTTAGGGTCTGAAGCCCACCTGTCTCCCTAGGCCTCAGAGCCTGAGTCACAACTTCAAAGCACTGTCTACACACCTATTCTTAGAATGCTAGCACATAAGAACATAAGAAACGGCTATGCTGGGTCAGACCAAAGGCCCATCTAGCCCAGTATCTTGTCTTCAACAGTGGCCAATGCAAATGACAGGTTGACCCAGGCTGGGAGGCTTGCTCCAAAATGCTGTGTAGACTTACTCCTAGACTATTTGAAGCAGTTTCTCTCTCAGTAGCCATAAAATCCATGATACTTAACTTATTAGGCCACTAGATAGACAAGGTGGTGAGGTAATATATTTTATTGGACCAGCCTTGGTTGGTGAGAGAGACAAGGTGAAGAAGAGTTGTGTGTAAGCTTCTCTCTCTCTCTCTCTCACTAGCAAAAGTTGGTCCATTAAAAGATATTACCTCACCCACCTTCTCTCTCTAATATCCTGGGACCGACACCACTCACTACATAGGCCACTAGATGTCACTCTTGCAACAAAAACTTTGACCAAACAAGGCGGTTCAGTATTTAACATCTAGCTTTGCTGTAGGCAGCTGGATACAAGCTATAATTAAGAAAAAATAGTCTCTGAAAAGCTTTTGGAAAGCACAGGGGTTCCCTGATGAATCTAGCTTTTTGGAGCTCTCCATGAATTTTGCATAAGAGATTGAAATAAAAAAATATGAATATGACTAGTTCATGACTAATTCATTCCCCCTTACTTTATGATTTTTCCTCCTTCCTACTGGCTGCAATGTCTGGTCTCCAACAACAGTGCCTGAATTGTCCAAGTGACTGGAGGGGAAAGCTTACACTCACATTTATTATTTATTTATTTGCATTAGAGTAGAATGGGGTGAAAATTTTCAACCAAAACTCCCTCCCCCCGCCAAAAAAACCCACAAAAACACAGATTCAGGTCTACTGAAACATTTTGTGAATTCATGTCAATTTTGGCCAATTGCTTTTGTCAAAACAAAAAAAGAAAAAAAATTTGGAAATGTAGAAATGAATCATTTCAGTTGTTCAGGCTAGATTCACCTAGAGATTGAGATGCCAATCACAAAACAGACATTGTGGTGGTGCGGATGACCTAAGGTCTATTCAAGTATTTTATACGAAGTGGAATAGCTTCAAAAAGCGAGATTAAGGCCTGGTCTACACTACAAAGTTTTGTCAGCATAGCTACATCAGCTAGGAATGTGGGAAAAAAACAACCAGGAAAAATAGAAGATTTCTATGGTGAAAAACAGCAACGTCCCCTCCCACCTCCAAAACAAACTTTTAAACTTTTGTTATAATTCACAAAGAAACTAAAAAAAGCAGCATAGACCCTACTGTTTTCTTTTATAGGTCACATTTACCAGGAAAACAATAAATAACTTTTCCCTACTTTCTTTCAGTCACAGCTATAACCCATGGCCAAATTCCTTTGCCAAATTGCTTTCATGGGAAGTTATCTTCCCTATTCTTTGTGTTTACTCAGATTACTTGAAAGCCGATTCTCAGGCCCATGTCTATACTAGGAGTATTTAAGCAATACTGGTCTCTTCTGCCAGCAAAGTGCTCCTAGTGTGGACACAACTATATTGGCAATGCTAGAATTTGTACCAGCATACCAAAAGCACTGCCCATGAGCAAAACAAGCTAGAATGGTGAAAACACAGCTATGGCCAGTATAGCTGCATCTACAATAGGGGGCTTTGACAGTCAGGGTGCGCCCCTGACAAACACAGTTGTGCTGGCAGAAGTCTGTAGTGTAGACCTGGCTTCAGTCCCTTCTTATTGGCAAAGGAAAATTGTCTAACTGAATGCTGTCTCAAGGGAAATCTCCTTGTGCTTCAACACCTTCATTCTATAGAAATCCTAGTAAAAAACTGATTTCCATTAATATCCACAAATCTAAACTTTTCTCCTTCAACTAAATACTTCAGAGAGGAAGGCTTTTTCTCACACCTCTGCCTCCCAGGCAAAACTCTGCCACTGACACAAAGAAAACACATTCACGCACCCACTCTAACAGTCTGAGCAATACAGTATTAAGCATCTAAGAGTATGTTTCAATGCTTAATTTGTGCCAGTAAGCTTGCCAGGGCTGAGCCCTGGCACCTCTAGGGCTTGGCAGTTCACAGCCCTGGCACCTCTGGGCTTGCTGCATCTGTTACAAATGTAAAAAAAATTGCTTGAGCCCAGGCACCTCTTTTGTTACAAAGTAAGAACTGGTATGTTTACACAGTGGATGTGGGTAGGGGTGATTCCTAACTCGGGTAGACGTACACATGCTAATTCCACTCAAGTTAGTCGGCTCAAAATTATAGTGTGGCCTTGGCACCTGGGCAGTGGCTCAGGCTAGCCACCTGAGTCTGTGCCCAGGGCTTTGTGGGGAATTGTTGTTTCTAGCTGGAGTCACTGCCTGTGTTGTCATGGCCATGCTGCTATTTTTAGTGCACTAACGGGAGCAGAGCTAGAGCATGTCTGTGTATCCATGCTGGGAATTGCTCTCCCAGCTGCTGTGTAGACATACCCCAGTTGACTAAACTTTATCATATCACCACAGTTGCAGCCAACTGGAAAACCAACTGCACAAGTCTAGTAAGCCCTAGAATATTCTTTTGGATAGTGATGCAAGTTTGAGAGATACGAAGGGCTTGCCTGCCTAGGGAATTTTATTGGCACAATTATACTGAAATAATCATATAAAATAAAAGTCTCCATAAAGACAAGCCCTTACAGTCTCAGTCCCAGGTTCTCCCCTGTGTCAGGGCTGCTTTGTGCATTGCCATCAGTGCAAAGCTGCCTTTAAGCCATGGCAGAATCACACCAGCATAAACTGGAAGAGATGTTTTAGTGGTTTAAAGCCACATTTGCAACCTGTTCTGCCGAGTTTTCCTAGGATCAGGATGGTTTAGGCCTTGTCCATTGATGTAGCTGCACGAGTTTGGGACTGAGGTAAGCAACACTAGTTTTGTTTTTTTTTTTACACCAGTGCAGTGCATCTGCATTAAAAATTTGCAGGGGTGTAGTTATATTGGTCCCAAAGCCTCCAGTGTTGACAGGGTCTGAGACAGAAGAACAAGGTACAAAATTCAGAGGTGAAGTAAATGTTGATGCAGATTATGTGATCGTAAGTGGATGTAAATGGCTTTAATTTGGTGTCTTTTTTTACACACTAAAAGCCCAGTTACCCTCTCTTACAACACATGCCCAGGAGCCGCAGAGCCCGAGCGCAGCGAGGGGAGGAGCCGGGAGGCGTGCGGGGGCTGGCGCCCACATGCATCTCCTGCAGGAGCCCCCGGGGGGGGGAGGGTGTGACTGCTCCCCACTAGCGGCGCTGCCACCTTTTGAAGGGCTGCTGCCCACCCCCCCACCCCCCCCCGCGCGCTGTGCCGGCTCCTCCATGGCTGGGGCTTGACACCCCCGCAAGCCAACACTTTTTGGCGCCCCCAACCACTTGGCGCTCTAAGCGACCGCCTAGTTTGCATAGTGGTTACACCATGTAAGCAGGGCTGGTGCAACTCCCATTGAAATCAGTGGGAGTTGCACCCTGTAACTGAAGGCAGAATTGGGCCCCATAGGATTAGAAAGTGGGTGCCGCTAATAGAGTTTAAGGTCATACTCCTATTAGTAGCTTTTCCTGCTGTCCTCCATTCTGACCCACTGGTGTGTATATTATACTACATTCCATCAGTTCACAGTTTCACATCTGCTTTCATCAAATTACCAGCCTGTAGTTTACACTGCCATTTTGGTGACCTCTGAATTTGGCCCTGGGAGTATTTCTGCTGCACAAGCTCTCACCATTTCAGTTTTCACAGGTCCAGTTGACTAAGGCATAATGTCCCCATAACTTATACAGATCATTAACCCAGACCCCACTAAACCTGGTGATTACCAATTTTCTTCCAAAATACTGGATCACTCATTTGTAATCTGACCAGGACGTCACTGCCTAAACACGGGTATGTTTATATCCATTACAGCTTGTGGAGGTCTGCGAAAGTTGTGAATTTGGTTTGTGTTTCTATCTAAGGCCCTGGTGTACACAAAGTTAGGTCAATATAAGTCACCTTGCATCAACCTACTTGTGTACTCAAATTTGTCTCCGGCCAACATAAATATCCCATTACAGCGATGCTGTAAAAGCATCTCCCTGAATGGCATAGAGACATGGTCAACCTACTGAAGTCAATCCAGTGCCAGGGTATAAACTGTGGTATAGACCTGTGTCTACCCTAACAGTCCTTCAGCAGCTGTCCCACAATGCCCCATTCCCTGCGACAGTGATTACTCTGATCATAATTATAAACTCCACTACCCAGGGGTCACTGAGACAAGAAGTTTACCCGCCCCCTTCCACACACTTTAAAGCCCTATGTGTTTTTTTTTTAAATGTCTTTTCCTGATTGCCCACCTTGGCAAGCACACCTAGCAGCTCACCCTTTGTTCTGTGCAACTGCCCAGTCAACCATGCCAGCAATCCAACTGGAAACAGCAGGTTTCAACAAGGAAGTGTTCTTATTCCCTTTTTAGCATTGCCTTCCACAGAACTCCAAAATTAGGTGAAAGAGCTCACCCTAATGAAAGTCTCTTTTTCCTGCAGGCTTCTAAGTCCACTTTATTAATCTTGTCCTATGCACATGAGGACTCTGTTTGGAGAGAGGCTATTAATTCAGCCAAAAGCTGGTAACCATCAGCTACCTTTATTCCCTCTTGTTGCAAAATCCAGGACATTTTGTTTGTTTATTTTAAATCTTGTCTATTTTGAACCCAGAGTCCTTTTTTACTAAATATATCCTTTTGAATAAAGCATCTCTTTGAAGCTCATTGGCTGCTTTGTTCGAGCATTGTTTCTAGCAAGTCTTAGTTCTCCCGCCACAGGATTCCCTTAAACGTACTCATTGGAGTACAGAGTAGAGCAGGGTGGGAAACAGTTTCCCATTCTTTGAAAAATTTTGAGATTGCCAATAATTTTCCAACCTGCACTGGGACAAAACTGAGATGTTTTAAAATTTGCCATGATCAGAAATCCCATCCTGGACCCGAGAAAGTTGTGTTGAAACTAATACATTTCTGCAAAAAGTTTTGGGTTTCAATGAACCAGTGTTCTTTTGTTGAAAAAAAAACCATTTTGTCTGAAAAATCCCTGACCAGCTCTAGTACAAGATGTATAGTCACGATGCTCCTTAGGTCCACCAAATGGGGTTGAGGGAAGGTGATGCTAAGTACTCCCTCTGTACAGAGAGCTCGACATATTGACTCCAAGACATCCTCATCCTTCACTGTTTTAGGACCTGGATTCCCTTCTGTGGAAAACTGCTGCATTGCTATTATTAATTATACTGTGGTAGTGCTAAGGAGTCCCACTCATGGACCAGCATCCCATGGTGCTAGGTGCTGTACGAACAGAATATAAAGATGGTTCCTACCTCAGAGAGCTTATCTCTGGGCAACTAAGCTAATGACCAGATGTTTAGCTGGTGTAGTGCCATTGAAGTCAATGGCACTATACCAGTTTAGCCAGCTGGAGATCTTTTAACCCTAAATCTTCTGTTTTATGAATTGAAAAGCCATTAAAGCTATTTTGGATGTACTGGTATATCTTGTCCTTTGTCTAATTTCAGCACATAAGGGCTTCTCTGACTCTTGGTTTCAGTATGATAACACGTCTGACATTGCAATGTTCCCTTGTCTTGTGCAGTATGAAACTAATATACCAGACTTTGTGACAAGTTACCCCAGAGACCCTTTCAATTTAAAGTTCAAATCCCAGCATTTAAATGCAGGTAAGTCTTTGCTGACATGCAAACTCACTGTATGGTAGAAGTTAGCTATTGATGTAGTAACTTCAGTGGGTAGAAATAAGGCTGTGAGGTAAATGACCTTAGGGGAGGTTAAGTAGCCTCAAATGAAGCATAAGGCACTGAATGCCAATATGTCCGGACAATTAGTATACAAATTAAAGTTTATTCCCCTAGTTAACATGTGTGACCTATCTCAAGACCTGACTCATGCACATCATCTCATTGTCTCAGAATACCTCATGAGGGCAGGGTTGGGTCCTCATCCTATAACACTGGATTGGGGGAGGGGAAGTAGCATTCATGCATGAAAGTAACAGCAGATGAATAAATTGTTTCTAGACACAGATTTACTGTTGATAGAAGTTCCTAAGTCAGCTAAATTTCACTGTTAGAGCCAGATTGTGCCTGGCCCATGTGAAAGTGTGTGGCAGTGGGAGAGGGCACAAGAGATCTTTGAATCACTTGCATGGCCTGCATAACGGACAGGCACAATTGCAGTCCTTGCCCTTGGGGGAGCACATGAACCCATCCTTCTCCTCCACCCTGCAGGGGCATCCGCAACCCCAGAGTGCAGTGAGGAAGCAGGGCCAAAGCCTCTCTACTCCTCAATACCAGCCCTCTGAAGGAGGCCTGTCGAGAAGGGGTGCAAGCTGACTCCCTGGAGATGGATAGCTGCAGGTGTGCTTGCCTGCATGCGGGGAAGTTCAGGGAGGAATTCCCCAGGGGCAGTGCAGCTCCACAAGCTCCTAATGCAGGGCCATAATTACATGGCACAGCTGAGGCTTAGAATTTGAGATTTGAACTCAATTATGTGCTCTTCCTTATGCAGACTCTGCCCAGAGTTCGCTTGTGCTATCTTATATTAAGCAGATGGAACATGGGAAGAGTGCTCTTACTGTAATTGCCATAGCTCTCAAGTCACACATTTCTTGTCAACAATTACACAATAGTTCTGGCCACCATATATATATACACCCTGTACAATAAAACATTAATATCATCAAACATTTACAGCAATGGGACGGGCAGGGAGTTCACAAGGGTTATGCATTTTTCACATACTCCTCTTTCTGGGACACTCTCCCAAACTTCCATCTGCTTATGTTATACCAATAAAATAAAAACCAGCAGGATCTTATTAAAGGGGAAAAGGCAAAATACCACATTTATTGTGAATACAGAAAGAATCATAGTAAGCAGTTAGTTATAGCTATAACATGCCATTCAATCTCATATTTATTCACACATTCATTCATACAAACACACACACACAGGTTCTGCAAGGTTGTTATCATAGTTACCAGCCTTAGAGTTGCTCATGCCAAGCCACTGGCCAGGTGGCCTGGACATGAGGAGGGAGCAGGGCCTTGTCAGATGCTCATCTGATGCTCCTGGAAGTTGGTTTGTAGAATCAGACCCCAAAGTTCTCACTTTTTAGAGTCTATTTTTATAGGAATTTCTTCCTATGCCAGTCTATGGGAATTGCTTCATCATGCTGTTGCTGAATCAATCAGCAGATAGCACATTCCTGACGGCTCCAAGATGTTATCTTGTTCTTTGGTTCTCCCATTCTTGAGGCTGTTGGGTGGATTCCAGTCTGCCCTCCGGGGGGGGGGTCCTCTGGTTATTTCCACTTGACGCCTTCTTCAGCCGATGGACACTGGATTCTTAGGCTGGCACCTCCCTGATCATTCAGTTATTATCCACACCAAGCATCCATCCACATACATCCTCTATCTCTATTTTAATCACAATTGTTAATACAACAAAAGGGCATGAAAGTCTCTGGGTGCTGTTTCTGTTGTTAGAGTATTGCTTTGAGTCTCTCTCTCTGTGAATTGCTTTGAGAATAGACTCTGTCTTAGAATGTACTAACACAATTAGCAGCTTGCAAGTTTCACACATAGAGGGAGAGAAACAGTACCAAAAACCAAGAGACCTCTTAATTAGTAATACCCTGGAATTTAAACTCTGGGGAATCAAACTCATTTGTGATTTTAATACAGAACTTCTTTAATATGATCCAACACTTACAGCTCTCCAAACCCTAATGATCCTAGAGCTCCTGGTGATAGTGATGTAGGGTATAATTCCAGAGCACAGACTGCCTGTTTTATAGCTGCTAGCATGTTGTTTACTTAACTTCTTCAGTTCATGGACTTCAGCCATTGAAAGACAAGCAAAAGGACACCAAGGGGAGATTCATTACATACAAGCCTCGTGAATGCAAATGGGAATCCAGGCTAATCCTGCCAAAGAACCCTTGGCCACCAAAGTCTGCTTCATTTACGGTTAGTTGAACCCTGAGCCAAGCTCCCTGCCTCTCTGTTGGACTCCAATAGGCTTCAGATCAGGCCCTTAGGGACTTTGTGGATAGTTTTGATGCAGCTAATGAGGGCACCAGGCTGCTGGAGAGTTTAGGAGACTCAGTAGATGGATTGCTGGGTTCTCCCCTGTCCCTGGATGTAGTTTGTACCTGGTAGGGGGGTTAGGTGTGGGACTCCCACTGATCATGGTGGGAGTTGGAAGGATAAATTTCTTGGGGCTGCTTTGAAAATTAAGCCCTTAATGTTAAGAACATAAGAATGGCCATACTGGGTCAGACCAAAGGTCCATCCAACTCAGTATCCTATCTACTGAAAGTGGCCAATGCCAGGCGCCCCAGAGGGAGTGAACCTAACAGGTAATGATCAAGTGATCTCTCTCCTGCCATCCATCTCCACCCTCTGACAAACAGAGGCTAGAGACACCATTCCTTACCTATCCTGGCTAATAGCCATTAATGGACTTAACCTCCATGAATTTAAATTAAATTAAAGTTAAATTGTACCATACAGCACATGGCAAAGGCACATACCCTTACATCTTCAAACTTCCAGGGGGACCATGTGGAAGAAAGTTCATTACTGGGGTTGGGGGAGGTGTCATATTCCCTGTGCAAGACATTGACTATTTCCGAAGGTGTGAGGGAGGGCGGGGGGGAATGATATTGGGATGGCTTACAAACATAAACCAAGCGCTTAAAACTAAAATGTCTCTAAACATAAAAGGATCTTTGCCCTCAGTGCATGCACTCAACTCCCATTAGTGTTAATGGAGAATGTATTGAACACGGATATTATTGTATGGGTAGCAGATGCTCCAAGTTATGAAGTTGTCCTCTTGTGTAATGATGAGAGACATTAGATCATCTGTACCAAATCTATTTGCAGCAATAGTTTTGCTATTTAAAAGTAATATTTTACTGTAATATTTGCACAAGCAAATAAGGTGATTGCACATACAAATGTGCCTAAATACACATTTGGATGACCTATTCCCTGATTCAGATGTGTAAGCATGTCTGAGATTCTGGTTCTTCAGCCCTCCCATCAAAGACCATAGGAGCATTCTCCTGTCCTGTGTGTCATTTAATTGCTCTAATTTATTTTTACTATTCTATTCCTAGAGACACAGAAGGCGACGTGGTGCCCACACGGCGTTCCTAGATCGTGTGGATGAAAAGCTACGTACAATATGGCAGGAGGAAGTAGGTGGTGATGTTGTACTGTTCCCTATGGTGCAAACCCAGTGTCTGCTTAGGGCCACATGATGGTTGCTTGTGCAGGGGGTAGCTGTGATACAATTATTTGTTTCTCAAGGAGGCAGGGACTGCTGGTGCTGCCAAAAGCAGTTCATACCTCAGCAGGGGGCGTGGCAGGGCAGAGTGAAGGGAGGTTAAACACAATAGATACAAACTCCTCCTGGGGGATGGAGAGGAGAGCTGCAGAAATCCTCAGGTGTTCGCTTTAGAATGTGGGATGTGCTCAGACCGGGACTGATACCGATAGTTACAATCTCAACCCTCTGCACAATGGCAGAGGAAGGGAACAACAAGGGTCACTGGTGACTGAGCTCGTGGTAATGCCCTGGGAGAATTTGAAGTGCCGTGGAAGATGATATGTCTGTTGCTGTCCTACACAGGCATGATGTCTCCATCCATTAACATGCAGGCAGTGCACCTCCTCCCCTCTTGCAGCGGCTCTCAGATCCATAACTGCGTGGTTAAAAAGCAGAGCTGGGTGACCTGCTGATTAAAGCAGGAGATGTATGATGAGTCACTCTTTTTCAGATGCAGAGTCATCTTCTGCCAAATTGCATTGTTATATTTCTCGCCAGAATATGATTCAGAAGAGCTGCTCTTGGTGACTAGCGAGCTGCTGAAATGAGCTTTGCTTACATACGTGCATTCCAAACTGACAATGAGACTCAAATCCAAAACCACTGCCAGGCACTTCTTTAAATAGAGGGCACCTTTCTAGGGAAAGTTTAGTATTTTTATCTGATGTTGATTTTGTGATTAACTCAATTTAAATTCTTTTTACTCTGTATTTGGGGTGGACATTCACCCCAATGCTGGGGGCCTGCAAAGCCCACATCCCATTTATGCCCTTAACATGGGTCTTACATAGTGCATAAAGCCTTATCCTATCCCGCTGGACAGAAGTGAATTTCACCCTGGTGTACTAGCCTTCCCATATTTGCCCTTGCAATCTTCTAAAGCCAGAGCCACTCTAACCTGGTGCTGTGCTGAATAAAGTGTCAGAAATGTTGGTGGGAGCTATCCTGCTAATGCTGTTCCTTGCAGTCTCAGTGCTTCATTGATTCTCTGAAGTGCCCAAATGGCAGCCCGTATGCTTAGCTCCACGTTCATTTTTGTCCTGATCAGTTAGGGCAGCAACACAGCACTTAAAAAGAAAAATCTATCTCCTGAGATATTTCTCCTAGCACGCCTCTCCTGCTGTGTTCCCAGTCTGCGGATCTTTTACGAGTCCTCTCCAGGTTGTTTTCAAGCCACCTCTGTCCAACTGGTAGGCCCCCTGGGAGGAATAGAACATTCCAACAAATACTTTGAATGCAGTGCCTTGGTGTTCCCACATAACTGTGATCACTAACATTTCAAAAGCAAATGTTTGATCTTTCAGCAGGTGCAATCATGGAATCATAGAAATGTTGGACTGGAAGGGACCTCAGTAGGTCCTCTAGTCCAGTCCCCTGCACTGAAGCTGGACTAAGTATTATCTAGAACATCCCTGACGAGGTGTTTGGCTTACCTCGCCTTAAGAACCTCCAGTGACGTGGATTCCACAACCTCCTTACGTAATTAGTTTCAGTGCTTAACTACCCTGATGGGAAGCTTTTTTTAATGTCTAACCTACATCTCTCTTGCTGCAATTTAAGCCCGTTTATTTCTTGCCCCATCCTCAGTGGATAGGGAGAACAATTTATTAACCTCTTTATAACAGGCTTTTATGTACTTGAAACATGCCCTGTCTCAGTTTTCACTTCTCCAGATTAAACAAAGCCATTTTTTCACCTTTTCCTCATTGGTCATGTTTTCTAGACCTTTAATCATTTTTGTTGCTCTCCTCTGAATGTTCTCCAATTTATCCACATTTTTCCCAAAGCATGGTGCCCAGAACTGGACACAGTACTCTAGTTGAGGCCTAATCAATGATGAGTAGAGTGGAAGAATTACTTCTTGTGCCTTTATTACTACACTCTTGCTAAAACAGCCCAGAATGATGTTCACTTTCTTTGCAACAGTGTTACATTGTTGACTCATATTTAGTTTGTGATGCACTACAAAACTTAGATGTTTTTCTGCAGAACTCCTTTTTAGCCAGTCATTTCTCACTTTTTATTTGTGCATTTGACTATTCTTTCCTACATTCAGTACTTTGCATTTTGCCTTATTGAATTTCATCCAAGTTATAGCAGATCAGTTTCTCCAGTTTGTCAAAATCATTTTGAATTCTAATCCTGTCCTCCAAAGCACTTACAACTCCTCCCAGCTTGGTATTATCCACAAACTTTATAAGTGTACTCTCCATGCCATTTGTCATAAATATAAAGGGAAGGGTAAACACCTTTAAAATCCCTCCTGGCCAGAGGAAAAACCCTTTCACCTGTAAAGGGTTAAGAAGCTAAAGATAACCTCGCTGGCACCTGACCAAAATGACCAATGAGGAGACAAGATACTTCAAAGCTGGAGTGGGGGGAAACAAAGGGTTCTTTCTCTCTGTTTGTGTGTTGCTTTTGCCGGGACCAGAGCAGGAATGCAGGTCAGAACTCCTGTAAAGGGTTAATAAGCAATCTAGTTAGATATGCGTTAGATTCTGTTTTGTTTAAATGGCTGATAAAATAAGTTGTGCTGAATGGAATGTATATTTTTGTAACTTAAGGTTTTGCCTAGAGGGATTCTCTCTGTTTTGAATCTGAATACCCTGTAAGGTATTTACCATCCTGATTTTACAGAGCTGATTCTTTTACTTTTTCTTTAATTAAAATTCTTCTTTTTCATTGTTCTTAAGATCCAAGGGTTTGGGTCTGTGTTCACCTATGCAAATTGGTGAGGATTTTTATCAAGCCTTCCCCAGGAAAGGGGGTGTAGGGCTTGGGGGGATTTTAGGGGGAAAGACGTTTCCAAGTGGGCTCTTTTCCTGTTATTTTTGTTAGACGTTTGGTGGTGGCAGCAATAAGGTCCAGGGACAAAAAGTAAAATAGTTTGTACCTTGGGGAAGTTTTAACCCAAGCTGGTAAAAATAAGCTTAGGGGGTTTTCATGCAGGTCCCCACATCTGTACCCTAGAGTTCAGAGTGGGGAAGGAACCTTGACACCATTATCCAAATCATTTTTGAAGATATTGAATAGAACCAGATCCATGACAGATTCCTGCAGGACCCAACTCAATATGCCCTTCCAGTTTGAACCAGTGATAACTACTCTCTGGTGTGGTTTTCCAAGCAGTTGTGCACCCACCTCTTAGTAGGTTCATATAGGCTATATTTCCATAGTTTGCTTATGATAAGATCATGTTAGACAGTATCAAAAGCCTGACTAAAGTTGAGATATAGCACATCTACTCTTTTCTCCCATCCTCCACAAGGTTTGTTACCCTGTCAAAGAAGCATATTAGGTTGGTTTGACATAATATGCTCTTGACAAATCCATGTTGACTGTTACTTATCTTAATGTCTTCTAGGTGCTTACAAATTGATTGTTTGATTATTTGCTGCATTATCTATTGCTCCATATTTGTGCCAAAGGTACCTAAGTCAAGCTGACTGGTCTACGATTCTCAAGATGTCCATATTTTTCCTTTTTATAGATCAATCCTTTGTAAATATTCTGTTCATACTTTGCTTTCAATTCCATGGGGTCTATTAAAAATCCACTGCAGCCTGATATTGTAGATTGCACTAAAGGAGAATGTCTTAATTTCACAGGCATGCCAGCCCAAATAGCAGGAAGAGGAAAAAGCAATGCAGTGGAAGTTCTCTAGCAGGACCCAAGTCAATGCACCAAGTCCAGCTCTGTGAAATGTATAAACCTCATCAAATCCTGTGAAAGATACTACTGGTGCTTCGCTGCATTTCTTGTATGTCCTCTTGTGTCGGATCTCAAATCTTTGAGAACTCCAACCTGGAATAACTAATGAGGGCCACATCCTGAGCTGTTGTAAATTGGTATAGATAGCTTCATTGACTGAGGATCTGGAATATCTTTAACACAATGCAGCAAGCATAACTTTACATTTATACCGGTATAAAATGGAAACCCTAAATCTACTAGAGTTTTGCTAAGTTTTGTGTCTTATGATCTTTATAACTGAACAAGGGAACTCTCTCCCTTATGGAGTTTTTATTCCTGAAGGAATGAAGTGGTAACTATGACTTTCTCATCCCTAAGAATGTCTTTTTATTTTTCTTTCTCCTTCCTGCCCCTCAGTCTCTTCCCCTTCTCACTAACCCACATTCCCCTCATAGTTACTTCCCCCACTTTCCCAGAAAATCCACTCCCTCTTCTCTCTGTCTAGACTTCCCCTTTTTTATTTCCTCTCCGAGTTATTCTACTTTTTTCTCCATCATTTTATATGAAGGAAGGGAAGAGTGAAAGGGGATGAAGCAAGAGAGCACCACATTCCCTCTTGGTCTCTGCTTAATGGCACTCAATAGACTCACAGTCTACAGTTTATTCTCCTGAGGGCTGTAATACTTTAGTCTAAGCCTGGATTTTGGGTTTAGTATGCGAGTGATGGGTGGTGTTGGTAGTCTGTGATTCACAGGAGGTCAGACTGGATGGTCTGGCCTTAAGCTCTTTGACTGTCTCTTTGATTCCTGATGAGAGCCAGAATGCCCAGTGGTAACTTATCTTCTGCAGCCCTCTCCCAAGCGAAGAGCTTGGGAACAATGCCCTGTCCCAGTGTGATTCCACAATCCCTTCCTCTCCTCCCTCACTGAGAGAGTGGAAGTTTTGGCACTGACTCCAATGGGAGCAGAATCAAGCCATGAGAATTGGATAGTGTGAGGGGGATTCAATTCTCGTTGAAGCTGGTGATCGGCATCTCAGAGGGTCAGGCTCTTCGACTGGGAATTTCTGATGGTCGGGGCTTGTCTTTTAAAAAGACTAAGGCCCCAAAAGTACAATTGCAGCAACCTATAAATAACACTGTGTGACAATATCCATTTGTCACATACCCCGCTTTAAATAC